ATGTTCCTTATCACGTTAGTGGATTTTTTTTTTCTTTTTAAGGGAGAAGGGAGAAGAATGTATTTACAGTCTTCCTCCTTCATGTTTCTGACTGAGCTGGGCATAATGACTGGTGCAGTTTTGATCTCCAGGAAACTGACAGCCTCAGGATGGTATTAATTATGCCAACCTGTTGATCAAAGGGGGCCCCACTGCGCTGCTCCTAAGCACGAGCCTTTGCGGGGCAATCTCTAAGATGGCAGCCTGGGCTCCATGCAGAGATGTCGCTTGCTTCCGCTCTGACGGCTGTCTCTGACCTCTGTGAGGAGGACTGGCTGTGGAGGGAGCTACAGGTGGTCAGGTCCCACCTCCCCCAGGGCCCTACAGGTGCACTGCTGGGTGCTGTGGCTTCCTGCATCTGTGGCTCTGCACCTGCTGATTTCTCCATTTCACGTGCCCTCGCGCATTGCTACCCTCATTCCTGCTGTGGGTGATGTCCCCATGTAGAGCCCCCTGCAACTTTGCTAGTGGCTGTCGTTTCCCATCTTCTCCCCCTGAATAAATGGGCTTGGAGCACATGGGCATCCTACTGGGATGCCAAAATAATATGGCAATGCTGGCTGTGGAAATTGTTACATTTCAAAATTTCAGTTGCTTAAAATCAGCTACTAGTTTATTCCTCCTTTGTGTAAAGTCCAAAAATGAGTGTTCCCAATAGGTGGGTGGCCTTTAGTATGGTCCTTGACATTGGAGGAACTTGGCTCCTTTTAAAAATTATTATTTTAAAATATTTACTTTCATTTGTCTTAAAGACAGAGTTAAAGAGAGAGAAAGGGAGAGAGAGAGAGAGAGAGAGAGAGAGAGAATCTGCTGATTCTCTCCCCAAATGGCTACAATAGCCAAGGCTGGGCCTGGTGAAAGCCAGGAGCCAGGAGCTTTTTCCAGGTCTCCCACATGGGTGTAGAGGCCCAAACACTTGGGCCATCTTCCACTGATTTCCCAGGTGCATAAGCAGGAAGCTACATCCGAAGTGGAGCAGCCAGGATTCGAGTAGGCACCAATCTGGGATGCTAGTGTAACAGGTGGAAGCTTTTTGCACTATGCCAGCCCCTATTATTATTTTTCAATTTAAGAGGCAACAAGACAAAAAGAAACAGAGTAGGGAAAGAGTTCTAATCTTCTGGCTCATTCCCCAAATGCCTGTAACAGCTAGGGTTGAGCCACAGCCCAGGCTTGGAGCCTATAACTGAATCCAGGTCCTCCACCCAGGTGGCAAGAACTCAATTACTTGAGCTATCACTGCTGCTTCCCAAGGCCTGTATGGGCAGGAAGCTGGATTCAGGAGTCAGAACTGGGCCTCAGATCTGGGCACTGCATTATGGGATGTTGGCATCTTCATCAATGTCTTAAGTGCTAGGCCAAACACCTGCCCTCTGGTCCCTTTTAATGTGGCTGTGCCCTCTCCTGGTCTCTTGAAATCCCAAGCATTCATCTGGAAGTGGGAAAAGAGAATGGGCTAGGGATCCTCATCCCGCAGTGTGCACGCAGATCACCGGGTTCTTGATAAAATGCAGACCCAGGCCTGCTGGAGGCCGGAGATGCTCCTTTCTTACGAGTTCCTAAGGTGGTGCTGAAGCTGACAGTCTGACAGCCACCCTTTGAGAGACAAGAAGACGGAGGGTGGAGATGTGGAGGTAGGAGGGAGGTGGCTCTTGTGGACCAGGCATCACACTCGTGCCCCATTGACTAGGACTCAGGGGTGTGGCCCTACCAAATGACAAAGGGAGGCTGGGGAAAGCACTTAGCCATGTGTCTGGGGCCATGTTACAGGGCGCTATGGTGTGACGGCACGTGAGGCAGAGTAGACTGCGCCTTCTCAGTGAGCCTGCCCTGTACCTGAGGCTAGGGTGAAAAAACAGGGCACAAGAGCTGGGGAAAGAAGGCCTTCCTGGCTCTGTTCTGCGGACTGTCAGGAGCCAGAGTCACGGGTATACCTGGTGTGAGCTGGCAGGAGGACAGGGACCAAGATGCCCGTGGGAGCACCATGGGACCCAGGGTGGAGAAAGTCAGACACATCTTGCATCTAAAGCGGCCTCCCCTCCTGGGCGATGTAGTAGAAGACGTGTGCGTCATTACTCATCTGTCCAAGGAAACCTCTGGAACCCCGTGGGGTGGGGGACGGCAGGGAGACATGGAAGTGGAGACTGACTCAGTATTTTCTCTGAGTTTCAATTCATTCCCCCCACCGTTGCCTTAGTGGTTTCTTCCTTGCTGCCTTGCTGGGAGTTTAAGGTAATAAGATAACACATCTGAGAAGGAGCTGTCTCTTTACTTACTCTGATACTGCCAGGCCATGTACCAGGAGATTGCTTTCTGGGAAACACCATAAAGATAGAACCTTTACTCTGCTCCCAGTGGCTCTCATCCCCAAGAGGTGGGTGGATTTTCTGATTGGTAGAATGTAAAAAAAATCTGATAACTATGAGTGCAGGTTTCTCTGTCCTTGTCATCTTGCTCCTTGTTGATACAAGCCCACCCAACTGCCTGAAGTGGTCTTTCCACTAGGGCAGCTCTGGCTGTAGGTATCAAAGCCAACTTTGGGAGGGAGCGGTCTGTGGTCACCCAGCTGCTCTGTGTGCAGGTTCAAGGAAGGAATTTTGGGCAGCGTCATTTGGCCTCCAGTCTAAGATGTTCTCTCTGACACAGCTTGTGAGCAGTAAAATGGGGGCTTGGAATTCTGTCTCTTTCCTGTCTCTGTTCTTAAGTGTATTCAGAACCCAAAGGGTATAGGGTATGTATTATTGGAACCTTCTAGAACATCAACAAGATATGAATTGCCCAACACTTAACTGGCAGCTATCAGTGTTTCTCGTATTGGGGTGAACAAATGAGGCAATTTACTGCTACTGAAGTGGCTTGTCTTGTCTGAAGAGTCCGTTCTGACTTGAAGATCTTCATGATTAAAATAAAATTCCAAAGCAACCGTGGTTTTCTAGGTGAAAATACTCATCCCAGAGTTATCTGAGTTTATCTACTGTGTTTTATGATGCAATTTATTTCATAGAATCATAAGACTCTGAGCCCCAGAGTTCAGCGCTACAAGTTGATTGTGAAATTTCCTTTGATAACTCCTCCACTTGTCCGGGCTTTATTTAACCACATGTGGTGATGGGAAACTCATTTTGTCTCTGTGCAGTCAATCCCATTTTGCTCCTGCCTTCCTTGGTAGAAAGCCCTTTGCGTGTTGAATTGAAATGTGCCTCCTTGTGGTTTCTCTCATCAGTCTGCCCTTTAAAGCAGCTTTATTAATTACCTATTGCCAAGGCAATGCTGCACAGCGAGCCAAGAGGAAACAATGGCAAACAGCAATAACCATTTAGTCTCGTACCCAGGGGGCCGTGCATCATTGGTGGGTTGGAGGGCCTAGGTTGAACGTGGTGGCCCCATGGCTGTGTTTCTCACTCCCGCGGTGGCAGCGTTGGTTCTTCGCTCTCAGTTGAGCTCCACTCTCTTTCATGGATGTTTATCCTTTGTGCCCAGCTGAACGGGGTCACACTACGTGCCCCCTTCTTCTTCTCGTGAAAGATGGCAGTAGTGTAAGAGGACAAGCCCAGCGAGGAAGCACGTTTTAAGCCTCTGCTTGAATCCATCTCTTAACACACTGGTGGTCAAAGCAAGTGATAAGGTAGAGCCCAGAACCTGGGGAGGAAGACGTACTCTGCTTCTTCTGAGAAGAACTGCCTCTGTGGCAAAGGACTTGGGTCCACAGAGTGTTGAAGAACTGGGAACAACCATTTAATCTGTCAGAGTGACTCAAAAGAGGTTCACTTGCTTCCTCTGAGGTGGCTTTTTTTAATGCTTGGAGGTGGTAGCTCTGCATTCTGAAAACAGTACTGGTAGCACAACCTTTGACTGTGGAGGGAATAGGGAAAGTCCTTCAGTCTTGGAGTAAAATAAAAATTCCCTATCTCCCAGGGTCAGTGTGAAGATTAAATTGAGTAATAAATGAATATGTTGGCCGGTACCGCAGCTCAATAGGCTAATCCTCCACCTGCGGCACCGGCACACCTGGTTCTAGTCCCGGTTGGGGTGTCGGATTCTGTCCTGGTTGCCCCTCTTCCAGTCCAGCTCTCTGCTGTGGCCCAGGAAGGCAGTGGAGGATGGCCCAAGTGCTTGGGCCCTGCACCCCATGGGAGACCAGAAGGAAGCACCTGGCTCCTGGCTTTGGATCAGCACGGTGCGCCGGCCGTGGTGGCCATTGGAGGGTGAACCAACGGCAAAGGAAGACCTTTCTCTCTGTTTCTCTCTCTCTCACTGTCCACTCTGCCTGTCCAAAAAAAAAAAAAAAAAAAAAAGAATATGTTAACCATTCATTTACTCATTTGTATGTGTGTATAAGATAGATAACATTAACCCTACTCAGCTTTCTCCAGTGCTTAGCAAGTGTCATTTACCTCCCATGCCAGCTTCCAGTGGGTTCTCACACTCCCCCAGGGGTCTCCCTTTCTTACTTGGGTATTTTCTGCTTTAATGTGTTCCCTTTTAACTGATGGTTCCCTGTTCTGAATACAAGACTTCAGGTGGAATACATTGGAGTGATGATACCTCTTGTGTCGTAGAGACTCTGCCTCCATTCAAACAGCTCAACTTCACGTGTGGTTATATTTCACCTCATGGCACCTACGGAGGTTGCAGGCAACTAGACTCCTGGCTTTTTGTTATGTTTCCTTCAAGAGCTGCTGGGTGTAGTGTTTCTTCTGTAACTGTTTGCAGACAGTCTACCTTGTAGAAATCCTTCACATGTCACTGCCTCTGACTTCATTGAGCCACTTTGTTGAGTACGATATTTCATCCCCATTTATAGATGAGGGGTACTCAGGTTTAGAGAAGAGATGTGGTCCCTCAGGGTCTACCAGGCCCCCTCCCCTAGGGCCACGCCTCTGGCCTCAGTGTTTATGGATGCAGCTGATTTTCATTCTCTCTTCTTGTCTGTACTTCCAACTCCCTTTGGGGGTCTTCAGGATCCTTCATGATGGTGAACAGCTCTGGGAGAGCCTCTGGCCAGAAGGCCCACCTTCTCCTGCCCACCTTGAAGGAGAACGACACCCACTGCATCGATTTCCATTACTACTTCTCCAGCCGGGACAGATCCAGCCCAGGGGCCCTGAACGTCTACGTGAAGGTGAACGGCGGGCCTCAGGGGAACCCCGTCTGGAACGTGTCCGGGGTCGTCACCGAGGGCTGGGTGAAGGCAGAGCTCGCCATCAGCACCTTCTGGCCGCATTTCTATCAGGTATGGATGGCATTTTACCATGGTCCGATTTTTGAGAAACCATGATGAATCTGGGTGCCTCTTGCCCTCTCTAACATTGATAGGCCTGGAAAGGACCTCATTTATTTAATCAATCATTCAACTTTACTGGGCTTCTCATCCTAGCTGGGCCTTGTGGAGGCAGGGTCTTGGGGAGGAGACTGATAGGTAAATGAATAATCCTAGTGTAACAGGGTGTGTGGGGGTCTAGGACACTGGGTGAACACAGCACCAAACTAATGCCTGCAACTGTTACTCTCCCTGTGTTGTAAGTGGAAAGATTTCCATTCAGAGGAAAGAGATAGCCAGAGATCACTGCTAGTAAGGCAATTAGGGTGACTTCTAAAGAGAAATGGTGGCTTGGCTGAGTCTTGAAGGGTGCGTAAAAATGATTGGGAAAGGCATTTGAGTTGTCAGGGACAGAATGGACCATGGCCCAAAGAAGTGAGTGAGAGATTCTGGCAGAGCCTGGAAGCTCTGAGCTGTTGAGGGGCATGTTGCAAAGGGGATACGCAGGGAGAAAGCCTGCAAAGTGGGGTAGGTAGGTCATAGGGAGCTCAGTCTGGAGCACAGACTGTCTGTGGTGAAAGCCACTTCCCCCTGGCACCCCTGACTTAATGTAGATCAGTGTGTTCCTAAACCAAAGAAGGAAAAATAAAGTCACAATAATGCCCAGTTTCTGGATCAGTTTCAACATGTCCCTTCCTTGCCCTGTTTATCTCGTTACGAACTGAAGGCACATAGTATGCAGACCCCCACCAGCCCACAGAGCACGCTTGAGGAACACAGTTCCACGTCATCTTAGTCTGGGACTATTGAAAAAAAGAATTTAGGGCTGGCGCTGCGACTCAATAGGCTAATCCTCCGCCTTGCAGCGCCTGCACACCAGGTTCTAGTCCTGGTCAGAGCGCCGGATTCTGTCCTGGTTGCCCCTCTTCCAGGCCAGCTCTCTGCTGTGGCCAGGGAGTGCAGTGGAGGATGGCCCAAGTGCTTGGGCCCTGCACCCCATGGGAGATCAGCAGAAGCACCTGGCTCCTGGCTTCGGATCAGCGTGGTGCGCCGGCTGCAGTGCACCGGCTGCAGCGGCCATTGGAGGGTGAACCAATGGTAAAGGAAGACCTTTCTCTCTGTCTCTCTCTCACTGTCCACTCTGCCTGTCAAAAATTCAAAAAAAAAAAAAAAAAGAAAAGAAGAATTTAGTATCATGAAGATTGAACTTATATGTCCTGGGACCCACCCGTTTGAACTGCACAACCCCATGATTTTTAGTCAAGTTTCAGAGTTGTGCACCCATCAGTATAAACTAGTTGTGGAACATTTTTAGCATCCCGGTGAGGTCGCTTTTGCCCATTTGCAGTAAATCCTCATTTGCACTTTTGAAAGTTTTTTCATAAGAAAGTGCTATAGTCAAGATGTGCATTTTGGGGACATTTCTCTAGCGACTGATGGTGCATCTGAGGGTGGGAAGATTAGTGACTGAAGCCTTCTTAGACATCTTCCTGTTCTACATCCCTGGTGCAGTCCTTGCCGAGGTCAGTGTTAGGAATACACTTATCTACTGAGATCACTTGTGTTTGTATCTGTGAGATGATTCAAGCCTTATTTCTCTTTGCCTGGATAACTAGAAATCAGAACTTAATACTAACTTATCCTCATTACGTATTCTGGATTTTGGCATACCAATTTCCATTTTATTTTCAATGGGTTGTTATTTCTCTTTAATTTTATTGTCCTTTTTTTGTGTATTTCCTGAAATTCTTCTAGCAGCAGGAGAAAGATGATGATATCGGTTATAGTAAGATGTTGGTGCTGATGAGACCTGTCATTTGTTGTCTGTCATGTTCCAGACATAGGACAAGTATTTTTATATATATTAGCTTATTTAGTTTTCAGATGGATTCGTTGAGGCTGGTGCTGTTATGTCCATTATATAGATGGTGAAATTAAAGCACAGAAATGATGATAATATAAACTCACTTGGAGGTAGAAACTCACTTCGTGCTCACTCTGTTGGAGGCTACAGCCTAAGTTAGTATAGCCGAATACATAAATGTGTGCTACATACATAATTTATAAACCTGTAGTAGCCACATTAAAAACAGAAAAGAAGCTGGTATAATCAATTTTTTTTAAAGATTTATTTATTTATTTGAAAGTCAGAGTTACACAGAGAGACGAGGAGAGGCAGAGAGAGAGAGGGGTCTTCCATCTGCTGGTTCATTCCCCAGATGGCCGCAACGGCTGGAGCTGCATGAATCCAAAGCCAGGAGCCTGGAGCTTCTTCCGAGTCTCCCGCATAGGTGCAGGGGCCCAAGGACTCAGGCCATCTTCCACTGATTTCCCAGGCCACAGTAGAGAGCTGGATCGGAAGTGGAGCAGCCAGGTCTTGAACTGGTGCCCATATAGGATGCTGGCACTGCAGGCAGTAGCTTTACACACTACGCCACAGCACTGGCTCCATGGTATAATTAATTTTAATAACATGTTTTACTTAGTCCAGTATAACTGAAATGTTATTTCAACAAGTCATCATCCTAAACAAATACTAGTGAGATATTTTACATTCTTCATAATTCCTTACAATGTATATATTTTATGCTTTCAACAAGTCTTGATTTGAATGCTGGATTGGCATTGGGAATACTAGTCTGCATTTATATTTTATAAAAGGTACAGTTGAAGAAGTGGATTCATAACATGAGTTTTCCAATACTGAATTACCAGCTTCTGAAATGTGAACTTAAAGTAATTAAAATGAAATAAAATGAAATAACTCATTTTCTCAGTCTCACTGGCCCCATTTCTGTAGCTGTAAATGAATGATCCGTGACTTCTGTATCAGGCTGCACAGACCAAAACCCTAACCACACAGCCACACGGCTTCCTCTGGTAGAGTTCTTGGAACAGTTGGCCTCGCCTGGCTCCCCTGACAGGGGAGACGAAGGTGTATCTTTGAACGGGGCTCTCGAAAGACGTGTGGCCTTCAGGCAGGTGTATGCGTTGCATGAATTGTCGCACTCCATCATGTCAGAATCCTGCATTTCCTCTGGCGGGCCCTGGACCTGGGTCTGAGAGTTTGGAGTCCTTGGTCAGGAGAATGACGGGAGTGAGTCACAAGAAGGTATTTGAAGCAGCAATCGTCAAGCTGTGCAGATTACCCCCAGGGACCCCAAGAACTGGCGAGGGGCAGGGTCTTAATAATAATGTTTGTGACCCTGCTGTCTTTGGTTCTCTCCCAACTCATCTCCCCTGTCCACCCATGGAGTGGCCAGGAAAGAGAGGCAGAGAGCAAGGAAAGTTAGGAAAAGAAAGGAGAGGAGAGGAGGTGAGAAAGGGAAGAGGAGAGAAAATCCTTGGAAGAACTCATTTTAAGTTTCATGTGGATGGCAGAGCGGTTATCTAAATGTTTTCCTAAACCATTGTTCAGTCACTCAATCAATTTACTTGCCCATCACTCAGCAAGCATCCTGTCTGAGCCTGGCCGGTACAGATATCCATAATGCACAGGTGAGCCAAGCAAAGCCTTGTGATGGTCAGTGAGGACTGTCTGCATTTTATGTCAGGCTAGGCCCTCGCTCGTTCCTTTAGAACAGCAATAACCTGTCAATAAAAGTGACTAAAAGCAGAGTCCTTTCATTTTGGCATGTGTGTCGCTAACAGTACGATGTTCTCTCCTAGAGCTTTCAAGACAAATCGAGCACCTTTGGCCTCTTTTTTGTGTCTCCTCCTTCCTCTTGTGCAGGGTGTTTTAACTGGTTTACCAGGCCTGCAAACTTTTATCTGAAACTCTGGTGTCACGGATGTTTCAGAATTCAGAATATTTGAAATTTTTTTTTTTTTGACAGGCAGAGTGGACAGTGAGAGAGAGAGACAGAGAGAAAGGTCTTCCTTTTGCCGTTGGTTCACCCTCCAATGGCTGCTGCGGCCGGCGCACCGCACTGATCCGATGGCAGGAGCCAGGTGCTTCTCCTGGTCTCCCATGGGGTGCAGGGCCCAAGCACTTGGGCCATCCTCCACTGCACTCCCTGGCCACAGCAGAGAGCTGGCCTGGAAGAGGGGCAACCGGGACAGAATCCAGCACCCCGACCGGGACTAGAACCTGGTGTGCCGGCGCCGCAAGGTGGAGGATTAGCCTAGTGAGCCCCGGCGCCGGCCTAGAATATTTGAATTTAAAAGTTAGTCTAACTGCATACCCCGTAAGCTTTATAACACCTCTACGAGGCTCCACAGCAGCACGCCATAGTCAAATACACAAATTCTCCTACAGCCAGACTCCGGCAGGTTCACAAGAGATGGAATGAATGAAGGCCACTGTGTCAGAGCGTGGCTTGGTGCAGGTGTCACCATCGAATCACTCTATGTGACACTTAGGTGCAAGGCCTTGTCTTCAGAGTATCTGGGGCTTCAGAATTGCACTGAATTCTGTATGGATCTCGGGAAGGGCTCATGCCCATGTGACTTGTGGAGTGCGGACAGCTGTTCCCTGGGAAAGAACGAGGTGGCTGAGGTCATAGCGTGTGGGGAAAGCTGCAGGAGACACAGTCAGCTAAGTCGGGATTCTCTGGAGTCGGGAAGAAACCAGGCCACGGGTGTTTAACGTTCAGCCTCCCGTTTCAGTGGGCGACCTCTTTTTGTCCTGTGACTGTCTGTGGAGGTGCCGTATGTGTCTGCTTGCCTGGGACACGCCTGGTCAGCCTGTGTTGTCCTGGTGAGGTTGTTGACAGCGTCTGTTTCCTAAGGCAGCCCAATTTGGATGATAAATTATGCAGGCTCCCTGTCCATGGAGATTGACAGGCCGCATACTGGCATGTGCAGCTTTGATTCATCCTTGTATCAGACATCATGCAGGAATTTTCTACAAAGAGCCAGATAGTAAACATTTGAGTCTGTGGGCCATCCAGTCTCTCTTGTAATCTCCCAGCTCTGCCATCGCCTTAGATACCATGTAAATGAATGGATGTACTTTATGCGCAAAAACAGGT